CGTTATTTTTCTCTTCTATTAAATAAATTTGAATGGATATCACTAAAGATGAATTTGAAATTGATGATATATTCAATAGACATTGATACTATATGATCTAGAAGTCTTTCTATTTATCAGCTACATAAACTGCGATCCATTGAATGAATTAGAAACGCTCAAGAGTTTCTTAGTAAAACTACAACACAATGGATAATTTGTGTCACGAATTTGTAAAAATCCTGCAATTGTACGAGATCTTTGACAAGTAATAATTTGATGATAATAGTATCGTCCCGCGAATAATAAACTTTAAATCGAATTATATCCACTCGTTATCAAATTCGAATATAATCCACCTATTTGTATCATATTTTCAATTCTTGACCTATATAATTTAGTGTGATTTGTCCATTCGTGTCAATCAATAATTTGATTTGGTTTAAGTATCTCTCCCCATGTAAATTAAACATAAGTACGACTAGATCATATTCCTATTCCAAATTTATATACAAAGTAACACATTCAATTACATGATTATCTATATAATTGCACATGTCATACATGTTATTCCTAACATCTATTGTCCATATGTTAAAATTACAATGTTCTAAATCAATTGTAAATCGTCCATCGCTACAACAAGCAACTAATTACCTAATTGATGATCAAAGATTCTTCAAGCTCTTGATGTTATTTGCCTTTAATTTCTTACTAAGTTTGTTCTCCTCTCCAACGTATGATAAATTGATTCCTCGTTCTTGGAAGATTATATGATATGAATTCAATTGAGAGGAAAGAAAGATCCCTATAATGTTACTCCACGTATGTCTATCGAAAAATAGGTTAAAATCAAGTGAAAATTGGTTTTCATAAGAGTTCTGGCTACAAAAGGAAAGTTGCACATATGGCCAAAAATTTGGCCACTGAGATAGCACCATCCACATTTTTGTGATGTGTATTTTTGTCCCTGAACTTTGAAAATCCTCATTTTTCATGAATTTTTGCTCATTTCTTCCGATTTCATGTCTAATCACTGAGTTTACCTAATATACAAAATATATAAGATATTAAAGTATAATTCATTAAAAATACTCCTAAATGTCTATTTAAAGGCCTATAAGTATATAATTATCAAACACCCTCAAATTTGAACATTTGTTTGTCCACATACAAAACTATAACCTATCTCAATAAACAAGCTTGCAATAACTTTGGTTAGATAACATGAAATTTGTCTTATGATTGGAGTCATTGTGTCAAGTCTACGAACAACTTCAAAATTACAATGCAAAAATCAACTTTTACTTATCAAATGTAAAATTGATATGAGTGTGTGAACAAAAGTAAAACAACATAAATTTATGAATAGATTCAATTTGAGATCATCAATAGTCAAATATCTCATTTCTCCACTATTGAGATACAACCCAAACTTATTCTTTTACTCTCATTCCCGATGTGAATCTAAGGATGAATTTATGTACTAATCGTCTGGATAGATTTTATTAATTGCAAGTCAATATCTCAATAAATAAGGATTTTTCTTTATTTTGATTGCTTCAATATTTAAGACTCAATTAGGTTAATAACCCATTATCAAATGTCTAATTCTCTCAAAAAAGTGTTTGGGGCATGCAGTGTGTCTTCTGTTTCATATGCATGGTTTTTTATATTTGATGTGCATATTCTGCTTCATGCACTAACTTGATCCATTTTTGAGTTTTCTTTTTGGAATTTTTAAACAAGTGTTCTCATTGAGATCTTTTATATGACAGCTTTCGTTCATTAATCGTGGTAGGGTTTTCCCTTTTTTAAGCAATTATTAGTGCAATGCCCTTCATTGAACA